CCATGAATACAAATTAAAAGCAATATAAAAACAAGCAAGAAACATTAAGAACCCATGTTGGGAGAGCAGCATAGAAATTATATAATCTACATGAAATCAATCAGAACGGAATCATCCTTAGCTGTGCTAGTGTTAAAGTAGCATTTTGTCACTCTTTTCTGACACAATCTGTGAGCAGTCTCAGTGTAAAATCTATTTAGGTCCCAGTGTACCTCGGAGGCATGTCAAGTGACTTGAAATGAAGACATTTACAGCAAGATAAGTTTGGGCATTGAGACAACAAATTTCTTACAATATTGTTTCCTGCTGATACAATTATGGGTAGAGAATACTTCAGTACCCACTTACCATCAAAACAATCTAAAAGCATGTTTCTCTGCTCCAGTTTCAAATCATATCAAGTTCCATATCATGTTACTTCAGACTTCCTTTTCCAATAATGAGCTTCAATACCTCTTTAATTGATATTTACGATACCCTCCAAGATCTTGAAGGCTTCCCGATACCATTAATGCTATAATAACACAATGGTTATAATACTTGGATTATAAATAGAAGGTTGCTTGTAAGAAACCTATCAGAAATGTAGGAGTTTTGTTAAATAACTATTTTTCTTTCTTTGTTTTGAATTTCAAACTTACTATTGTGCTTTAAGTATAGTAGTGCATCGTGTTTTTCGTATTACAGATGCTCCTAAGGAAAGAGTTTTAGCTCCAGCTTCCAAATAGATCATATATATATATATGTTATTTGGGAATTGAAGATAATATCTTTCTATTTTGACCAACAGGAAGGAAGGAAGGAAGGAAGGAAGGAAGGAAGGAAGGAAGGAAGGAAGGAAGGAAGGAAGGAAGGAAGGAAGGAAGGGACTGATTAGTCATTTTATCTTATGTTGAATCCAGAAAGTCATTGCTGCAGATGATAGTAGAGAAAAACATTAGAGGAATATCATATGAAAGTGCCTCTAGCCTTTTCTGTGAAGTTTTTGGAATCTGTGATGGTAACGTGAGTTCAGTGGTTCTATATGGGCTACCACCAAGTGCAGTGTCATTATTCAGTAATGGTTTAATAGGAATGCATTTGTATGGCTTGAGCTGTGAACTGTAGCTAACAGTGGTATTCTGTTCCTGTTACCGGCCTTGTAATACTTCATCCCTAATAATCTATCTGGAATTATTGATATTAAACAAACCTGGAAGAAAGGGCAAAAAAGAGGGGAAAACACCAGGAATTCCAGTAAAAAAATAAAATTCAAAGAAGCCCAAATTCTAGTTACCTCAAGACAAAAATTTAAACTGATATCTTAAAACTATCCTGGGCCGTAGGTAGTATTTTCAGTTTAATCATTAAACTGATTTTGGCTTAATAGAGATAGTATATTTTCCTACAATTATATAACAGATGTGTTTCTTCAAGAGTGCTCTGAGGCTAATCAGTATAATGGTCTCAAGCTTAATTAGTATAATCAGTTTTGAATACTGGCCTCAGTCAAGTGCATTTTTAAGTACACAAAGACTATAATCATTGGCTTTCTTCCCAGCCTTTCATGTTCTCTATATTCAGTTTTCCAAGAAAATATATTGACTAGATATGACATAAAGAAGAGTTTGTGGCATTCGCCAGTTTCCATTAAATCTAGTTCTTTCCTTTGTAGATGATTTTGGACGCAAGAGGGTTTTTATTCTACTTTAGCACTGAAGCCAAGCATGCTTCTAGGATTTTAATTGTCAAGTTCTCGGTGTGAAGCCAGTTAAAAAAACATTTCAGACCTAATAATATAGCACTGAGATAAATTACTAAGCAAGCAGAAAGTTAAGTACCTATGTAAGTTTAGCAACGGAACAAGAAGCCAGGGCACTAAAACATCCCACCCTTGATCTTCATAAAATAGTTTCCCAAGAACATTTATGAATTCAGATAGTTCAGAGGAATCTGGGAGTATGTGCCAGTAGCACAGAAATCACGAACATGCATTAAGTGCTCTTAGAGTTCAGGAAAGAGGCAATATTTAGAATTCTGAGGAAACACATCTCAAGACTTTTAGTAACCTGAAAAAAAGCCCCCCCAAAAATTCTAGTTTACTTATAATAATGCATAGCGATTGTGTCCATTCCAACATAAAACTCACTTACTTTTTATTTATTTGTTTATTAAATTTATATGCTGCCAATTTCACTATCAAGCAACTCAGGGCGGCTTAAGATCATGGCCCTGTCTTGTCCTGCTTTGCTTCAGTAGCATATCATTTTGTGGTCTCTTTGTCTTTAGCTTAAACACAACACATTGCCCATTCTTTGTGGATTACATCTTAACGCAAACCCTTCACTTAAAAAGTGAAATCATTGATCTACCATACTTTGCTCAATGTTATCTTTACTGAGTATTATTGTATTTTCAGGGAAGGGCCTTGAAAGATCTTTCCAAGTGCCAGGCCACAGATTGAGTCTGGAACTTCGTGCATGTGAAGCAGTGGTGAGATTTAATTTTTTTTACTATCGGTTCTGTGGGCGTGGCTTGGTGGGCATGGCGTGGCTTGGTGGGCGTGGCAGGATGAGGATACTGTAAAATCTCCATTCCCTCCCAACTGCAGGGGAAGATTACTGCAAAATCCCTATTTCCTCCTGATCAGCTGGGATTCGGGAGGCAGAGAATAGATGGGGGCAGGGCCAGTCAGAGGTGGTATTTTCCGGTTCTCCGAACTACTCAAAATTTCCGCTACTGGTTCTTCAGAACTCGTCAGAACCTGCTGAATATCACCTCTGATGTGAAGTAGATGTTTTTCCTTTGAAAGGCAACCCTTCCCTAGGTTTCAACTAAAATATACACTTTTCGTAGCTTTTGTCTTCAAATAATAATTGTTATGTGACCAAAGCAAGACATCCACACAGAAATATTAGATGCATGTCTGGATTCTGAGGTCTCAGAAGTGCTCAGCGGTGTCTACAAGGCAGAAAGGTGAACAATAATGAAACCATTCATTGTGACGCACATTCTACCTCCTATAAATCTCTGTTCAATGTGATGATGCAAGGGCCAAAGGGCAAGGTTGCACTATAATATCACAATATAAATTTTGGCATCATGCTGAATAGCATTGATGTCATGGAATTCTAATATATTTATAGAAAAATTCTGGTGAAATAGAAGGAATGCTCAATGGCTGAAATGTGTTTGAGGCACAAATAGAATCCAGAGAAAACATCATAACTAAGTACTTGGATACCAAACTGAACGACCCTGCTGCATTTCATCATAAATCTAAAATATCCAAACCTGAGGTTCTAGTGTTGGCCAGGCTATCATAAATGATCTTGATGAAAGTTGCTATGTTGAATTGTGTTAATTGGGAGACAGATGCCTGAGTATGTGAAGATGTGTCGGAGGTAGCTGAGACAGCAACAAGTCTTTAAAAGGAAATTGCTCTGACTTCTCTGGAAATTACAATAGTTTTTTTAAATAAACTTTGCTGAAATTGCTTATGTTCACTAAATGAGAGGAAGTGATGAGGATATTTTAATATATTTTTGTTCCACAGATGTGTTTCCTTTCTAATGAGTGTGTTTTTCCTTATGCAATCAAATAAAGTATAAGTGCTTGCTGAAATATTGTACATAGTCCAGCCTTATGGGAGAATCCATCTTTGCTCGAATCCAAACATATCACTTAAGTGAGAATTGGGATCTGTCTCTGTTCATGCCAGGCCTGACCTGATCTAGAGATTGTGCATAATACTAGGTCACTTGCACTCTCCATATGGAATCTCTTTAGAGTTTCCAATCAATTATTTTAATAAAACATAAAAGGAAATTATTAAAAACAAGGGGGAATAATATTTTGGTTTTATGCAATCCATTTCATTTAACTTACCATATATTAAATTAGACTGCAATTTTCCTTTCTAAACCTATTTGTCTTTGAATCTCTTAAAATATTTTGCCCAAAAATGGACACTAAACTTGACAGGAAGTTTGATCAAAAAGCAATGGAAAAATGATGACTTCCTATGATTTAGAAAACTTCTATTGATTTTTTTTGAATTGCATTTATGTCTATAGCTACATTGAATTGGTGACTCCATTTAGTTTGCAACAGACTGCTACCTTTTTCAAAACTATTACCAAACCAGATATTTGATATCTTATAGCTTTATATCAATTTGTTTCCTAAGTGAAAAAGATTGCAATTGCTTCACTGCATTTAATTCTGTCCCTTTTAGTTTATTTTCCTGATTTATTAAGATTTAATTTTATTTTTGCCTTCTAGGGTTATTGCATCCATTTTTTTGTCATCACCAATTTTGCAAGCATTCTCTTTATACCAATGGTTAAAAACAAACAAACTGAAGAGTAAAGATTCCAGGATTGATTCTTGTGGTCCCCCTTTGATCTGTAGTTTGTTGGATCTTTGTTTCTCCTCTCAGAAGATAAGAACACAATTCAAATCTCCAGAATTTCTCAGAGTTCATACATAAAGGATTATTGATTCAAAATAGACAGGTATTCCACAGTCTGGTTCACTAAGGCCCCAATTATGAGGGAACAACATGTGTGTTATATGTAGTCTATTAAGTGAAAGTGAGTAAAGAGCAAATAAATATCAAGAGTCTCTTATTACCTTTAAAACAGTTAGTGGGTAACATTTAGCCAAATTTAATGCTCTATCTGAAATCCCTCCCCCCACATGGAAAATCAGAAATTCAAGACGAGGCTAGAATCTTTTTCTCTAATATATTCATTTATAATGCAGAGGATATTATTTGTTTAAAGAGTAGAGTATCTAAAATAGCACTTATTAATATAAAATCCAACTACAGTCTGAACTCTGAAAACATTTCAGTCTGTGTCCTGGACATGCAAGTTCTTTGGATATTCTTAAAAGTTGTCCAGTTGAGTGAGGAAGGTACAGAAAAGAAATTCATATGATCAAATGTTCTACCTAAGTCTGGTGGAACGTAATAATGTTATGTTCTTTTTGTTTTACATTTCCAAGGACAAAACAGCAAATATTAAATAGCTTTATTTGCAACCAGAAAAAGTTAGCAGAGTCACCTTTAAATACTGAAACTATACAGTCACCAATAATATTCCCAGTATTTGTAATACTTCTGTGACTTTCACAGTATGACTTTTTTTTTCAGCATTTGCGATTCTCCCTTGCTATTCCAAGCACATCATAACAATAAAGGCACATTATAATAAATTTAATGAGGCACTACATCATACATTCACTCTGCATTTTATACAATTTATAAATAGAAATATACATACAGAATGAAAACAATACAGCCAGAATGAAAAAAATGCAAATTACATACATATTTATTCACTTGATACCCCTTCTTCAAGCCCACAAATTTAAATATCATTTACTCTTTTCATTTTGAAGATTTCCAAAACATCAGTCATAGTCACTGAGACTAACTTAACTATTCAAACACCCTAGGCAGGTTTTGTCCAAAAGAATTATTATAGTGAAGGAATAAAATCCATTCTTCTGGAACCATCTCTCTCTCCCTCTTCCCAAAACTACTCCAGAAAATTGGAGAGCACCCGGAAGAGACTTGCAGGATGCATGGGCTAAGTACTGTAGAGGGGAAGTACCACTGAATAAACAGAAATATTCTTATGTACCTGTAAATTGGATATAACATAGTAATGCTGTGGACTCTATCTTCAAAAGTCCAGTTTCAAACATCAGAGCAAGGCGAAGGGACTCGGTTGTAATGTATAATAATATTATATGCATAATGTAATGTAATGATGTATAATGATAGCATCAATCTGTTATAGATTAAAGGGCTTTTTAGATCAAGTCAGATTTGAGGTCCATCTAGCTCAGTATTGACTATATTAACAGTATTGAAAAAGGCCCTTTCCAGCCTTCCCTGAAGATACTACAAATTTAATACCTTCCATGTATAAGTACATGTTCCATCACTGAACTGTAATCTTGCTCTCTATATATCAAGCCTACTCTATCCAGATGATAATATTTATTCAAGAAAGCTGCAAAAAATTGGTAATGATAACAAAATGATGCGGATATCCTCCACATTGTTATATTTCTTCATTTTTCTAAATGTTAACATTTGATTACTCTATCACTGTCACACCTGCAATTTAAGAATTATCTTTCACCAGCTTTACACTTCAACGATTAAGATCTTTTTCTGGAACATAAAAATAGAGACACTTGGCAGGCTGCTTTTACATAACTGGTGGGGCAGTGGTGGGTTGCTCCCGGTTCGCACCGGTTCACAAGAACCGGTAGTAAAAAAATTTAGTAGTTCGGAGAACCGGTAATAACATTGGCTGGCCATACCCCAGCTCGGTCACCACTCGCTTACCCCGCCCACCTCATCAGAGGCTTTTTCTGTTTTACTTTTAAAAACATTTTTTTTACAACCTCTTTGGCTGAAAAAGTGCTTTTAAAAGTTAAAAAAAAATCCTCTGATGATCGCGCGGCTCAGCTGGGATCTTCAGAGGCTTCTGAAAACATTTTTTCTGCAACCCCTTCTAAAATCCCTTTAAAAGCTTCTGGCGATCCCAGCAGATTTGCCTGATCGTCAGAAGCTTCTAAAAGCAACCTCTTCAGCTGAAGAGATTGTAGGGAATAAAATCCCTTTAAAAGCTTCTGGTGATCCCAGCAGATATGCCTGATCGACAGAAGCTTCTAAAAGCATTTTTTTTCTGCAACCTCTTAAGGTTGTAGAAATAATGCTTTTAAAAGTAAAAAAAAAAAAAAAAGTTGGCCATGCCCACCCATTCACATTACCTCCAAAGCCACACCCACAAAATAAGCCATGCCCACAGAACTGGTAATAAAAAAAATTAGAACCCGCCCCTGTGGTGGGGTTAATTCAGTATGGTAGGTTAGAAATTGTACAGGCCTAAATTTGGAAAACGGTTAATAAAACTTTGCATTTTCTCTTTATTTCTCTCTCATACAGTATACCTAACACATAACTCTTTTGGATGACCAGCATGTAGACATGAATAGTAATAAAATATTATACGCTACGGATAATAGCAATAATAGCACTGGCATTCTTTAGCATGCTGATTTCATTCTGTAAAATTCTACTTTAATTATCTTTGCCAGTTTTGTTTTTTAAAGAAAGCTCCAGCATAATGCAAGTGAGAAAAAATCCTGGGCACTTGATTGCCTGAGATCCTAGGAACCTTACTAAATCTAAACCATCTATCTGGAAATTGTGTAGGGACTCCTGCTTGGGCGAGAGGATTGGACTAGATGACCTACAAGGTCCCTTCCAACTTTGTTATTCTATTCTATTCTGTAAATTTATACATACATTTTATACAAACTATGTGAAGCTATATACAAACAATGAAATGATGCTAACTTCTAACAATTTACAGCTAAGATCTATGACACAGAGAGAGAGAGCGAGACAGAGAGCCAGAGAGAACATACATACGTTCTATTAAGAGTCTGTATTTATACATATGTAAATCAATTTAATAAGCTGTTAATTTAATAATATATTAATATGTATAAAAGCTTCCATTTAATCTTTTGTGTATTGAAAATTCAGTTTATTGGGCATATTTAATGTCTTTTACATTTAACATGAAGTATTATGATTTAAACTAAATGTAATGCATTCTTTTATTTAGCTCAAACCAAGAATGATATATTCTCACATTAATGTTGCCTGAATCTACTGTCAATAAAACCAGCAAGTGTTTGACTTTTGTGTATCTATTAATAAGATGAGCCTGCAAATATGAAATAATATATAACAGTAAAATTAAACCTAAATTAACATTTGACATATAATACTATATATACTATACAACTTTTCTATGCATACATGTGACTTGACTGTAGTCTTAAACACTCACAATACTTTGGAAGTAATTGTATAATCATATGACTATAATTCAAAATATCAATATAGTATAGCATCCAATTGTTTAGTAACCATTAAAATTGTAGGGTGGAATTTTCAGATTACAAAATTAATTTATTGTGTTACACCAATTTATATACATTTGTTTCTGCTCAGAAAATCCAAAATGCAGGGCTATTTCATTTATAAAGTAATATTCCATCTGTTTTATAAGATTTAGATAAAATATTTGCAAAAAAACAACAACAACAGCAAAAGCTTTATACTAGCAAGTCAAGGAACATTTTCAAAATTAATGCTTTTTACATAATGTCACTGCACATCCATTGTAAAATTCAACACTACGATACTTAATTATCTAGTTTTTCATGCTTGCCCTGGTTTCATTCTGCTCCCATCTGAAGTGTTAATAAAATATTACTTCTCAAAAGTTGTGTTGTTTGGACACACTGGTCTCTAAATTCTGTCACATATGTATGCATATTGTCATCAAATCCAACAGAGCTAAACATTTTCAAGAATAATCAATTTTAATTGTGCTGTTAAGCATTTACATTTGATAACATGTTTTTAAGTTTCATTTTAACATAAACCCCAAACATTTAAATCTCTACTTCATTCAGAATTATTTCACAGCCGCTAACGTATTATTTTTATTGAGGTTCTTTAACATTTTTATTTAATAATTTTAAGTATAATAATCATTGCCTCCCTTTTTTTATTTTAGAAATTCCGGAAATACAGGTAGTCCTTGACTTATGTCCAAGTGGAGCCCAACATTTCTGTTGTTAAGAGAGACATTTGTTAAGTGGGTTTTGCCCCACTTTACAACTTTTCTTGCCACAGGTGTTAAGTGAATCACTGCAGTTGATAACTTAGTAATCTGGTTGTTAAATGAACCTGGCTTCCCCTTTGACTTTGTCTGTCAGAAGGTTGCAAAAGGGACAGAAAAAGTCATAAATATGATCCAGTTGTCAATCATCTGAATTTTGATCACAATCATGTGGATGCTGCAAAAGTTGTAACTATGAGCCACAGTGGCGCAGTGGTTAGAATGCAGTACTGCAGGCTACTTCTGCTGACTGCCGTTTGGCGGTTCGAATCTCACCAGGCTCAAGGTTGACTCAGGCTTCCATCCTTCCGATGTGGGTAAAATGAAGATCCAGCTTGTTAGGGGCAATATGCTGACTCTGTAAACCGCTTAGAGAGGGATGGAAAGTAGTGTGAAGCGGTATATAAATCTAAGTGCTGTTGCTATGAAAAATGGTCATAAATCACATTTTTCAGTGCCGTTGTAACTTGAACAGTCACTAAACAAACTGTTGTAAATCCAGAACTACCTGTATTTGGCACTAGATGTGGCTGGTTATGTCCAATAAAAAAGATTTTTTATATTCACAAGTCAAATATCCTGTAGTAGCAATTCCAGATTGAGACATATCTATAATTGGAGCCACTTCTTGGGTTTTAATGTACACAACAAACCTTTACTTTCATCATTTTCTGTGCTTTGTTTTATGGTACTTTTATACTGATTTGTTGGTTTGTCAGCTTAGAACTAATTGGTGAATCTGAAATTGCTGCCACTTTTAAAGAATTTTTAATGGAACTGAGTTCCCATGTAGACAAATTAATGAGGTGTACTCCACAAAATCTTCTAGCAATCTCATACAATTTTTTAAGAACAGCTTTTCTCAAAAGAATATATACCCATGGATCCAATATTTGGTTACACGTTGCCATTCGAAGAGCAAAAATTATAGTTTCACAGGGTACTGTTTTATGGGAGGTATTTCCATTTATTCCAATAATGGCCATGATTACCTACAAAATGAAATAAGTTGTATTATTCATCAGAAAAAAAAGTCAAAAATATATTACTATTTTTAACAATAATACATGTAATTTGGTTTAACAGTAAAATAGGAATTACTGAATATCTGGAACTACTTTATAGATATTTTTATAAAGCTGGTTCTGGATTTGAACCATCGTGGATTGAAAATTAATCCATTAAAAATTAAAGTTGATATCATAAGGAGTCAAAATCTCTTTTTGAAAAGAGATCATATTGCTTAGAAACTAGTAACAGATGAAGAAAAGTTAATATAGTATAGTGTTGCTTACATAGCTGAATTATGTTCCTATAATTATCTTTTGTGTTCATTTCTAATTCTGACCTTTTCAATATTATTTACTCTTAACTTCTACATTATTCTTTCTTACAATTTTTTCCATTTTGTTTATTTGAAGTTATTTGCAGATGCCATTTTCCCCAATTTGTACTTTTTTGCATCAAATCTACACAATGATAGATTATTATAAGTAAATAATTATATACTTCTGAAAGGCATAAAGGCTACCCTACTATTAAGAGTCAGGCCACTGGAAACATAGAAAATAGTTTGAAAAACTTCATAAGTAGAAATTGTATTTTACAGCTATTCCACATAATATCTGGAAATTATCATTCTGTGTGTTTATAAACACAGCTAAATACCAGTTGGCCTTTCTGGAGTTCTGGTTCTCCTTGTGTGGAGGTAGAGAAGATATTACCATCAGTAATAGCAGTCAACTTCCAACACTCTAGGTTTTTAGTACTGGGAAAGGATAAGTATTATCTTCTCTACTGCCAAAGAAATATTTTGGATTTAACTTTTATGTTAATTTATGATGTTCTAAATAGATATCACCAATATGATGTAAGCATGTATAAGAATTTAACACATGTTCTGAACATAAAAGAAGTTATTATGTGTCACTCCCACTAGGTAAACCAGAAAAGAAAATCAATTCTGCAGAATAGCTAAAACTACTTTTACTGAGATTGGTTATAATAACAAAGTTTTGCAAGTGATTGTGCTGTAGGAAGGCATCTGCCTGAGCCACTTTTTGTCATTCTTCTCAACTTAAAAAAATGTTTCAACCCAGATCAGGGCTGTCAAACTTGCGGCCCATGGACCAGATGCGTCACATGCTGGCCATCCCCACGTCCAGTTTAGTGAAGGGGGGAAAGTCGCAATATATCACGTGACACTGCCATGACAACACAAGTTTGACACCCCTGGCCTAGATCATGGTTCCTGAATATTTCCATCAAGGTCATCTTCCTTACTCTCTATGGTTTTGGATGAAGTTTTAGAGTCCTATGATTGAAGATATCATACAGAGCCAAAAAGCCTACCACAAAGAAATTAAAATTGACGATTATATAAAATGTTTAACAATATAAATAAAATGTTTCTAAAATGCATATGTATCTATTAAAATAAATAATCTAGAGAGATAAATTTAAATTTTACTTTTAAAATTATTTGGAAATAAGTCTAGAAAATTAAAGGCATGCAAAATAAAAATTAATATAAACATGCCTGGTTGTAGTATTTAGCTCAGTAATTTGTATTTTGCATGATGGTAAACAGCTATGATGATCAGTATTTACACAGAGATAGCAAAGTTACCCCACAGGAGGTACTTTCACATAATCCAAATAACTGACCCTCCATAGGATCTAAAAGAAGGATTCTCCCATTGAATTATAATAAACAGAATTGTAAGGAAGAATAGTTATCTAGCTCCCAATTGCACTACATTTAACTAAAAAGATTACTATTTTTCCTCATAATAAATTATCTATAAAATCAGCGGTCTTAATTCAGACAACTGCTAAAAGACTCAAGCAGTATTACAACATCTCTACAGATACCAAAGTTTGAAAAGGCATAGAAAAACAAATAATTTTTTCCAAAGGATCCTCAAGATGAAAGAAGTTTCCAACCTCAAACTGATATGGTAAAGAATAACAATGGACACATGGTATCAATTTCAAAGAAGATCAAACGAAACAAAGCAAAAAGAGTATACTGAAATATTGTACAATAGAGATGTCAACATCTAAGCCACTTTAGCAAAGAATTCTGAAGTTCTATATCCCACTATAGAACACATTGATTCATCCAAAGAGGATGCAATTAAGTCATATATCACAGGCTATATCTGATATCCAAAGCAACAAGAACAAGTGACAGGAAAATTTTAGCTATATAGTCTTAAAACATTAAAATCTAGGCATCTGAATTCATGGGTGTATCCTGGAACACACCCAGACTGAGATCCCCTCAGTATGGCTGCAAGTTTCATCATTTTCATGGCTATGTGTAGAATACCTGCTGGTGGCATTGATCCTACAACTACTCAATGAGGGACCACCCAAAATAGGACTAGCAGCTAGCACTTAATCCTTTTTCCTATCCTTCTTTTTCTTGACACTTTTGCTTTTTGTGGAGCCAACTAGTTATTGTTTGACCGGAAAGAATAGAGGGCAGAAGTCAATGTGCAAAAGCATCTTGCTTTTTAGAAGGGAAACATAGAAATAGGAGGAAGAATAAGGCAGAAGTTCTTGCCAATTGGAAGTCATCCCACCACTGCATAGCACTGCAGATAATCAAAGAGTTGCTGATAAGGGGATACATTATCATTTCTTAATTTCATCATGTTTTATGCTGTTGATTTGGGAGAGAGATTAGAAGTGATAGGCTCTTCTTTTGAGTTTTATTGCGCCATTGATTTTGAACCATACTCTTAAAAACATTGCACTGTATTAATATTAATAGGTCTGTTATGGTGAGACAGAGTAACATTTTTAAAGGAAACTGTTGTGGGATTGTAAATTATATACAATTGTATAATTGTAAATTATATACAATTGTATAATTATAAATTATACAATGAAAATTATAGTGAATATAATTCCCTGTAATTTGCCTATTTAAAAAATAACTATATCCATAACAACAACAATAATAACTATTAAGGGCATAAGCAAATCAGTGATTTTCATTATTTTCATTAAAAATGGTTGGCCAAATTATCTTTATATGCATAGGATGTGCATTCTTATATAAAATTTACAATGCAATTGTAATTATACAATACAATTTACAATCTCTGCTAGTATTTGTACAAATCGAAGCAATTCACAACTCATATAAATACCCAGAATGCAGTGTTCACAAATGGCTCAACATCTCTATACCAGTGGCCCCCAACCTTTGGGGCACCAGGAACCAATTCCATGAAGAAAGGTTTTTTCCGTGGACCGGAGAGACCATGGTTTTGCGTGCTGCCTGCATCCTGTAGATGGGGCTTTCCATGTTTGTATGGACCGGTTTCTGGCATGCCATGGACCAGTGCTGGTCCACGGACTGGGATCAGGGACTCCTGCTCTATACCATCCAAATGTGAAAAAAAAAAGATTTTACATCTAAGAAGATGATAACATGCAATTAATGAATGGAAATAATTATTCCCCACTCCCCTTTGGGTACTGGCGATAAATCACTGATAATATGAATAAGGCTTTGCTCTAAGCAACAAACACTTTAAATCCACAGATTTCATAAGCAAATACTCAGCCATGTTCTCCCAAAACATTTTTGTTTTTTTGTTTTTTTGACATTCAAAAGAGAGAGAGTTAGTTTCAGGTCCACCAAAGATTAAAAATTATATAGTTTCACTAAGTCCACCAAAGTAATTTGCCTGTAAGACATTTTAGAAAACTGCTCACATAAACTTATTAACTTAACTATGATCGAAGTGTGAGGCAAAATGAAAAATGGCAGAAATAATTACTGCTAGTTCATAGGAAGGAAATTATTACTAGTTACATGATACCAGATGAGCCTGAAAGGTACAAAAAGCCCGAAACGAATTCAGAAGCAATATTTATGCATTAGCAAAAATTATTAAAGAATTATCTACTTATTAGAGAATGTGTTCCATACATGATTAAAGAAAGTATTTGGTCGTATTCAGTATTTAAAATATTAAATTCAGTATTTAAAATCTTCTAATGGAATTGATAATCAAGAGACTTTCTTTTTCTACCAAGATGTGAAGCAAACAAAGTGTGAAAAAGTAATAAGGGTATGTCAATGATAGTTATCTTTAAAAATATTAAGAAGAAAGTGTCAGATCCTGTGGAGTATTGACAGGAAAAAACCTCTTCCTAAAAGAGTTCACTTTTCTTTTGAAAGCACCTAATGAGGTTCTTTCGGGAAATATTAAACTGAAACAGGCAGCTGAAGAAATAAGAATAGTGGTGACTACTTTTAAGACTTTTTTTTAATATCAAATTAATATTTTTTCCTTTCCTTTTTTCTTAATTTTACAGAAGAGCTGCATTGAAGATGTTTCTTCAAATACTTTCTTTTTTTCCCACAGATACACAGAGACTTTCGCATTATCTCTTCCTGTCTGAATGAAATGTGATTCTCTATAAGTGCTCTTGAGTTACTGCAAGTAACAAAGTAAGAAAACATCTAATGGGAAAGATATTTTTTCTACTGATTATATTTTCTACTCAAGTTTTTAAAGGAATAGAAATTTTCAATAAAGGCTTCAGTTGCCTAAAGAATAACTTGGAAAAATGTAACTAACTGTAAAGCAAAGTTAGTTTAATATATTTGTGGGATAGGGAAAAAAAGAAATGTAAAATGAAGAATGAAATAATGCTATTGGAGAGAAAAAAACAGGATTATTTTTAAAATAATATCAGAAAAATATAATGAAATCTTAAATATGAAAGCAGACTATGCTTTATGAAATCCATAAAAAAAACATCAGGATAACAAGTTGTAAATCAAGTATTCTAAGTATTGAGAAATCAGATAAGTCCATCTACAAATAGAACTCATGTCGTTTTCCTCCAATTACAGGATAATTATGTTCAGTACTTTTTCCCATATAAAGTATTCTACTTTCTATTAAGTGGGCTAGGCCTTTTGAATTTAAGAGGTCCAATGCATTATGGTACTGCTGTACTTGCAAACTGCTATTGGATTATGACCAAATGTATCTACATATAGAAATACTTAATAATCTGTTCATGATAAAAGAATTATAGAGCGGGATTGCTCATAACTAGGTAACAGAAAAGGATCCTGAATCAGTTACTGTAATAATGTAATCAGGATTAAAATTTGATTTTTAAACCTAGCATGGAATTACCGGTACTCAATTATTTTTTCAGTTAGTCATTTCAAGCTAAAAGTGTAACAGTGGGTATTAATACCTTATTATGTAAAACAACTTTACTTATTGTGATTGATCCAGCTGGAACATGCTTAATTTTCATATGCCTGATGCTACATGTAGATTAACCCTTGAATGCATATCTCTGCATTATACAATATTAACTGATTTCCAAAGAAAACTGTTTTTATAAAGCAGCTATAATTTATTAGATAGGTAATTCTATTATAAGTGAAACTTCTATTATAATTGTGACTTTTGCATTTCTGTCATTATGACCTAGGCTGAACTCTCATTAGCCTCAGTAAGAATGATTAAAGTACTGTAGTGTGATGATTTAAGAAGTTTAAAATTATCATGAAATACTGAACAATGAAATATTTTATGCTCTCTTTAATCAAACATCTTGTGTATTTCCATTTATGCTGCATAGGATTGCTGTTTCCATACAGTTAATTCATATCATAATAATGTTGTGTGGATAGACTTGTAAAAAGTTTAACAGGACATTCTTTCCACTTGGTGCTATCAGGCAAATTCTTCTAAGTACAAACTTATTGCTTCTTTTTATCACTCTTTTTTTGCTGAACATTCTTTAAAGACACTGTTTATGATGTACCCTCATCCACACTGATGATAAAAATAAATTACTGCTGACTTAGGAGGTTTTTATTATTATCCAGTCCTCATTGATTCAGTAGTATTGAATTTCTAATGCACCTTATGGCTTAATATTTAAACACCGAATGTCGATCTATAGTGCATTATTCTCCAAAAATGTAAACAGTGCTAGATTATTTTTATTTTAATTAAAACAAACAAGGAGGTGCAATTTAAGATAATAACTTCCTACAATACCAATTCCCTAATGATTCCAAAGTACCAGATGTTTTTCCATAACTAATGTAACTAACATTACGTAAGTAACATTAAAGTAAGTAAGTAACATTAAGTAACATTAAACTCTATGCCTAATTTGTCTCAAGTACCTATCCGAAATGTCTTAAAATATTCCATATCATATTTATTCAGGAAGAGCATGTGATTCTTCTTGGAATAAATAAAAGAAAACTCTTTAGCTGATGAAACTATAGTTTATAGTCAGAAAACACTATAGTGTTAAACAGTAAAAGAGAATGAGAATCATTTATACATTTGAATTAAAATTAATTTTTTTCACATATTTCATGGAATTTGAAAATAGTCATTATGTTTACTATTTATTTATTATTTATTTATTTATTTATTTATTTACCACCCATCTCCGTTGGTGTAAAGTGCTACTAAATTACAGCCCTTCCATATTTAAGAAAATAATGGCCATTCAAATATTAGGCCAATCCATGGTTAGGGGCCCACTGCATGAATTGATTCCAAGCATACAAAGTTAACAAACTATGATTTTAAATGTGCTTCCTGTGCATTTTTGCTATTGCAGTTTTTAGGCTTTTATCATTCTGTAACCAAGTACAAAAAAGCAAAAAATTTACAATAAAAACAGTGGGCTTCAAACCTAAGAAAACAGTTTCTTTGGTTTAAAGCTCATGCAGTCATGATTTCCCTTACCCATGATTTGTTGAATAAACCTTATATGCTTCTTAGATCGTGCTAAGACAGATCCAAATAAAATAGATTCTGATTAGCACAAGCTATTTTAAACATAGTTTGCTGTGATATTTGAATCAAGCTAACAAAATGCCTTCTTCACAGAAGACTAGACTGAATGTCTGCCTCATATTTTACAATTTGTTACCTATAAATAACAAATAACAGAATAACAAAGTTGGAAGGGATCTTGGAGGTCTACTACTCCAACCTTCTGCTTGAGCAAGAGACCCTATATCCGTGATGGCGAACCTATGGCACACGTGCCAGAGGTGGCATGCAGAGCCCTCTCTCTGGGCACTCACACCGTTGCCAGCTGCTCTTCTGGTTTCCAGTGCATGTGAAGACTAAACCCAAAGACCCAAAGACCCAAAGGCCGGTGCACACATGTGCACCGGCCACCTGGTCTTCGGGTTTCCAGAGCCCCAGCACGCATGTGCATATGCATGTTCCAGTTTGGGCACTCAGTACCAAAAAGATTTGCTCTATATCATTCTGGACAAATGGCTGTCCAAACTCTTCTTAAAAACCTCCAGTGATGATGCACCCACAACTTCTGAAGACAACCTGTTTTACTGACTAAAACAGGAAATTTCTTCTTAGTTCTAGCTTGGTTCTCTCTTTGTAAATTTCCATCTTTAACCTCTTGTCTTGCCCTCAGTTGCTTTGGAGAATAGATTGCCCCCCGTCTTCTTTATGACTGCCACTCAAATACTGGTAGACTGATATCATGTCACCTAGTCTTTCTCTTCATTACACTAGGAACACCCAGTTCTTGCAACCATTCACTCTAGTCCTCTAATCATCTTATTTAAATATTGGGGAAGAAGCCATGTAGTAAACACTTTAGTGGTAAGTACAAACTTAAGGTATGGGTGGATTTACATTCAAAATACAAAGTAGCCACTTGTATTTTGGTTTTGCTTTGATAGGGAAAAAAAAACTTTACAACTGTTTCAAGAAATATTGCTGTAGATCTTTGAAGGGGCACATTATTTCATTACATCTTCAAATGGAACAGCCCTTCAAAGCAAAGCTGTGATGCAATTCACTGTTTGCATCCACTGCTTTGGTAAATATTCTACATTTTTATATAATACTCTTTCCTGTGATACTGTAAGTCCCATTATCTAAGGAATTGGTTTTCAAGATAAAAAAGAAAAACAAAAGAAACCATAACTTCCATTAAACCATCCTGTGAAAGCTTGACATATTAGTCAGCTTCCACCCTCATCTAGAAAATGTCTGTATCATTATATTCCACCCAAGATCTTAAGATATTATCCTAGAACAAGATAAGCAATCTATAACATGAGAATGGAAGTGGTTGAGTGGTTAAGATCTTACCAGGAAAGGAGTCCAGCAAATGCAAGAGACAAACATTATACCCAAGAGCTGAATGATCATTTCAAAATGATGAGATCTGCCCTGTCTATGTTGACTCTTAAATTTGACTCTTAAAAGTGTAATTCCTGTCACAGCATTGCACAAAAGTGAAATAACAAGGGCCAGCAAACCCAAACATGAAAAAAGTAAGAGGTAAAATCTATCTTCCCAATCTTGAATTTTCTCTGTTTGATAGAAGCACCAGGTTTTTGATGCTTGAATTGTATACTTCTTTGATGTCAGTATTGGCAGCAAAGCTATGAAAATAGCAAAAAGACACACCATAGTCAATATCATTTTTACATGGTTAAAAGTCATTTTTGTTGAATGAAATATTGGTTTTGTCACTCCAATGCAGCGTTCCACAGCCATCACACTGCCCAGAAAAAGAGGATAAAGTCCAAAGAACACCATGCAGTTACCAAAAAAATTGCAAAATATCTTTTCTGATGGATCAAATTTTTTCCATTTTTTTTCATTTGCATATACGAATACTGCAATAGTTCCAACGATGAGATGGCCCAACATGTCTGTGATAACCAAGCTACTAGCAAAAAACAAAAACAATGCTTTTGATTTCTGCCTAAACCTCTTAAATGCCTTCATGAGAATTACTATTGCAAGGCTATTGGATAAAATCCCAACAGTCATGAAGATGGCAGAAAATAATACATTGAAGCGTTTTTCTCCACCACAAGTAGAAATTCCAGACAAGGATGATGATTGTGAACCATTCATTGTTAGAAAGAGAATTTCAACATTCAAAACATCTTAGTGGCCAGGAAATCATCAGGTATCTGTAATACAGTAAAAGAAACTGTTTAAATACAATAAATAATATTATACATTTAATCTTACTCACTTCTGATACAAAGACAGGCATAATGTAGATGAATATGCAGAAACACCAGTGTAGAGAATACAATTAACAAAATATAAAAATGATAATACAATAGAACAATTAAGTTAGTACAAAGCAGGAAAAAAAGTAAAAAGGGGAACGTTTAAAATTTGAAAAATTTAAATGTTAGCATAAACACTAATGGGATATTAAATTATCAATATTCAAGAACATTTGTTCCAAAATACATATCCATTATCTGATACAGCTTTCCTTTTTAAATTATATAATTAAGAGTGTATTATATAGCTTCATGCACTGTTGTAGTAATTTTTTAATGTTGTGGAATTTGATTGTCTAGGGGGGGTTTCAGTCTTTTCCACTTTACCTTTGCTATAATCTCATCAATCAATTTTCACTCACATACATCATTGGCAATAACACAGGAGATAGAGATAGATGGTAGGTAGGTAGGTAGGTAGGTAGGTAGGTAGGTAGATAGATAGATAGATAGATAGATAGATAGATAGATAGATAGATAGATGGATTGATGATAGACACATACATACATACATACATACATACATGCATACATACATACACACACACACACAAAAGATAGCACTTCCACTGCCCAAGTTTAAGAGTTAATCAAGTAAAACAGAGTAAAGCGTGAACAGACTCTTCCTCAGCCCTTCCAGAGAATGCTCTGGAAAGTAACACATTTTCTTCTATTGAAGTCTGCAGCACTCGGACAACCAATAGATGATATAAACTTGCCCTTCCTGACTAATGGATGTGCACAGAAGTGTCTCAGATAATTAGCATTCAGCTGCTGGCAATGAACTGAATATATTGCTTTACTCTCAGTTTGGCCTATTCTTCCCGAACAGTAGAATAAAGTAGCATTTTCTAGGCCCAGCAGCCTGGTGCATATCTCCAGATTTCATTGGTCCATTATTTTCCTCAAAATGTCACACGTGTAACAGGAAGAAACTAGAAGTAGTAGAAGACTAAATAACCATTGATTAAACTGACTGATCAATTTGCTTCACAAATAGATGTAAACCAGTCTCTTACGTTAATTATAATATTTCTTGTCCTGGAAATAAGTATAACTTAGAACTTGAGGTAAAGACGAAATGCCTGTAGGAGTCTACAGTCTATATTTAGGTATGTGCAAAGGAAGAGTTATGATATTTAACTGCACTTGGGAGAGCAACAGAAAAATGGGTAAAGCAACTTCGATGCCTGCTATTTTTCTTTAAGTAAGGATAGTCGACGTATTACGCAGCCTCCAGATGCTGCTGTTCACTGTCTGACATACTATTCCTTCATCAGTGCAACATTACAGCTAGATTTTATCATATTTAATATATAGATAGTAAATTACCATATTTAATATATAGATATTATTTTTCTATTATACTATATGACATATACATTTGCCACAATGTTCATGTACTCCTTACTAATGTTCTAATCCATGGCATCAGGAAAACACACTGAGAATACAGAACAAAACACAATAGATCAAACTAAAATCTCAGCTTATTTCAGGTAATTGAGGAAATACTGAATAATATAGTTTTTTCAAAACTCTAAATTATAGGAGAAATGAACATCATACTCTACATTTGTAGGAATTTGGAATTCTGTTCAGTGGATTTTATTCAGTATGCAAAACACTCTACCATATGAATCTGAAACTAACCGAAACATTTTTATAGAAAAAATACGAATTTAAATATAAACGGGGGGGGAATCACACACGAGCATTTTTCCCCCATTTAAATGCTTACATTGATTTTTCTTTTACTGTCATTCTTTGTACCAAATAGCATTTAATGACCAAGCAAAGTCTCTCCATGAGTTGACTGGGTCAGTTCACTCAATCAGTCGTTCATTTATCAGCTCATATACATTATACATTATTTGATTCTCCCCTTTATTTATTTCTTAGAAAACAAAGTTATATAGCCTTATGCTAGTAAAAGCTCAGCATAAAAACAAGGTGATCTTACTAAACTTTGTAAAATTTAGCCATGCCAAATATTTCAAAAATCAACAGTTGCAGTTTTAAAATAAAGACTATTCAACGGAAGAATTCTATACAAATACACTTGAAATAAAAAATAATATTTTGGCATTATACCAGACATGGTGATATAAATCTGAGCACCAATATATTATAGTCTACGTTGCCTGACAAATAAATATTCCTTTAACTAATACTAAGCCAGTAGGGGATAATGTAAACAGATGAAAAGTATATTACTTAAATAGAGGAAAAGCAACATATATAAGTATGCATTTTCATAAGTAATTCCAGTTTTGCTTCTGTTTGAATATAGCACTTTAAAAAATTAAAAGTACTCTGCATAAATGGCCAATTTTAAATGTTAATTCAATTTTTAATATGAATTCGAATTAGGTATGCAACCTAATTAAAATGTCAGATATTTTCTTAGCAAATTTTAAACTACTACAAAAACTAATGCACAGAACAGCATGTTTAAGCAGACTATTTAAGTTGCCAAGCTTCTTTGGGGTAAAATGACCACAATTATCCATAGATGTAAGACTATGGCATTCTCCTGAACAGACTTGCTTCATATAGTTCAGTGTACTGCAGCAACTAGTCTAAGTCCCAGAGAGAACACTTATTTGGATGGCAAAAATACGTAATATGAAGTGAACAATAAGTATAATGTAAAATGGACAGAAGAATTTAACATGAATAAAAGAACTGCATGAATAAAATTGGAACCAATTCTGAGCTGCTGGAGTAGGTAAAAATAAAAATCACTGTTGGGAATATATCAGTGAGGTACTTTTGAAGTGACAGTGATCTTCAAAAGTAAACATTGCCAAAGGGTGAAAGATTTCAGGATTCATTAGTCTGCTCTGCAGTCTAATGAAGCTCTATACAGTCCTTAAGAATCAACACCAATTTGATAGCATATAATAATCGATCAATCAGCTACTACTGTAGAAGTCTATTTTTAAAAAAAATCTTTTAAATTTTTTTTAAAAAATAGAAATGTGACATGAGAAAGATAGGAGCTATTGAGGGAACAGCAATCAGCTAGTCTAGCAAGCTAAGTGGTGGAATCAAAATGGAAAAAAAAAATCTAGGAAAAAAAGAAACAGGTCTGCAAAAGAAAACCAGAAAGAAAAGTAGGAGGCAACTGAAGAATAAGTAAGGGTGAACTCTGAGGAATAAAGTAAGACTTTGGATGGTAAGACGTTTGGATGGAGACAGGAGGAAAATTAGATTCTGTTCTATAAGAGAATTAATATTGTTCTGTAATCCTCTCACTGGAACACTTGCTAGGAAAAGAATCCTATTGAACTTAATGGAATTTGCTTCACAGAATTTGCTTTCTGTGAAGCAAATTCAATGGGATTCTTTTCCTAGCCAGCGGAATTGGATTACAGTCTTGATTCAGCCAATTTGATTTGAAGCTACCTAGCCTAATATTGGATCCTCTTATACCTTCAAGCGTCTGACCAGATAGGGCAGCCTTGTCTCTTTAGTCACCCAAGCATCCAAGTCCGAAGAAGGTAAAAACAAAATAATAACACACTTACAGGCGGGATTCAAAGAGCCAGCGGGAGGCTAAAATCAGACGAGCGCTTTCCAGCGCCCTGATTTAACAGTAACGCAGCCACGTTTGATATTGTACAGCCACAGCCACGGCTAGATGATCTTACGAAGCCTTGGACGGGCTAAACTGGAGAGTCTGCAAGAGCTACTCAGAAGCGCAGTTATTCCCAAATCTTCCCCCACAACAAGCACGCGACGAAGGCGTCCGCTTTCTTCTCCAAAGCCGAAGCTCACCTTCCTTTTCTCCCTGAAAGTTTTTGGGACTGCGAAGCTTGGAGGACAAAGCGTGGGAGCTCTTTTTACCTCAGGCTCTGGGGTCCCGCCAGCGGTCGCGCTCCTGCCTCGCTCTCCGGGCATCGCCGTCACCCACCAGATCGCTAAGGCGGCGACTCCTTCCCACGCTTCCCGCTCATCCAACTAATAAAGACGGAGGGGAGGCTGCAGCTCCGCAGGCTCAGACCGCCGGGCTCGCCCACGCTCCCGCCCCTTTCAGCTGGCAAAAAAAAAAAAAAAACCCGTCACACGTGCTACCGGCTGGCTCTTTTCCCTGACTTCGGACTCTTTTAACAACCCACTGCAACTTTCCCGTGGGGAAGATGGTAGCCCTTTCCAAGAAAACCTCCGCCCTTCTTTGGCTCTGCCAAAGAACCAAGCCCTACACCTGCAAGAGGGAAGGAAAGAGACTTTTTTATTTTTTATAGAGACTTTTTTATTTTTATTCATTTGTTCGTCAAGCATATATAAGATAACAAGTATAAACATGATTATGAATACAGGGTAAGGATACGAATATGTGGGGACAGTAGGACAGGGGCGGTAGGCAAATTGGTGTGCTTACAGACCTCTTAGGAATGGGGTGAGGTCAACAGTAGACAGTCTAAGGTTAAAGTTTTGGGGGTTTGGGCAAGAAATCACAGAGTCAGGTAGTGCATTCCAGGCATTGACCACTCTGTTGCTGAAGTTTTTCTTTGTTTTTCTTCACCATCAAAGGGGGGGGGGGCAACCAAGCATTCCTGTTCTTTTCCAGTGAGATTTAGGGTCTCTGTCCACAAATAAATCTCAGAATCCTGTTTTCTGCCATGTCTCCATTCATCGTCACCTTCATTTCGTCCCCAATCCGTAGGTGTCTACAGAGGACAAGAGGTAGCAAGAGACCACAACACAAGGACTCCCATATCTGCATCCAACATTAGGGCACAAGTACAAAAGGAGGTGCAACTGCATGTATGGCATATTTGCGTTGTCCTGGCTGGCTGTGGTCGCTTAGGCCTCAAACCATAACTGAGAATGAAGGTCAATTTAGCCATCCAAGCAGTGGTGAAATTCAAATTTTTTTACTACTGGTTCTGTGGGCGTGGCTTGGTGGACGTGGTGTGGTTTGGTGGACATGGCTTGGTGGGCGTGGCAGGGGAAGGATACTGCAAAATCTCCATTCCCACCCCACTCCAGGGGAAGGATACTGCAAAATATCCATTCCCATCCCACTCCAGGACCAGCCAGAGGTGGTATTTGCCGGTTCTCCGGACTATTCAAAATTTCCGCTACTGGTCATCCGAACTACTCAAAATTTCTGCTACCAGTTCTTCAAAACCTGCTGGATTTCACCCCTACGTCCAAGGTTAAAATAGCATTTTCTCCTTTAAGAGCCAAGATACAGTGGCAGCTTTGCCATGATAGGCTTCACAACCTTTTAGTGGATGCCAATATTAAGTGGGGATGTAGCTGTGTACTCATCCCTTTCAAGTTGTCTGTTATAATTTGAGAGCAAGAATTTGCACACTCAACCTTCGTGTGGCTAAAATATCTGAGGAGAGGAGAAGCATATCACATGGAAGAGCTTTCTCTTTGAAGGGGAAAAGATAACTCATGACAGCCCTATGCTTCAAACTCCCCAAGTTCACCAGAAGCCATGACAAAGCAGCTAAAAATGCATAGTTATCTACTGCCTGGAAGCTCTTCTACTCAGAATATGAGGAATCATTTTGAAATCCTAGTCCTAGATTATCCCCCCTATGAGCAGAGGAAGCTGATAGTTAAGGAACACAGCCAAGTGGATAGAGCTACTAAGCTACCAAAGCTCACCAAGCCCCCCCCCCCATCAAAAAAATACATCGAAGGAAAGTCAACTGATCTCTAAGGGTTGGGATCAAGCTAATATGTATTGGGTATTTCAGATGAGAGTAGACAGACCTTCTCCTATTCTGCCCCCAAGAGTTGCTTTTCAGGGCCATTCTGCTTCCATCAATAGGGGAATTCAGCTCTTTAAAACCAACATGTCCTCCATATACATCAGATTTTTGAGATGATCTCCATCTTAATGACCTTAAATCAGCAATTGCCTGCCAGAAACAGTAGGTAAGGTGAAATGAAGGTCTGTTGCAGTGTGAAGTTTGAAATAGAGATTGTTAAATGCACTATGAGAGATGCACCGAACACTGTACCTGTAAGCTGTTTGGGTTGGGAAGGGGGCTGAAATATGAATCCAAATGTAGCCTGGACTCAATTCCGATTTATTATAGATATTTTACCTGGTGCATTCAAAAGTATCAATGCAACAGCTGAGCATTGTGATTTTGGGGGGCTGGGGTTTTAGTGCTATTTCACAACAGCACTAATCGTCAGCAAGTCACTTGTTATGAGCATATAGTTTGGCTAACTTTAAATAAGCAGCCCAGGCCATGCTCATTATGTATTAAAGAGGCTGATCGATAGATCTTTTCCCATTTCCCATTGCTTGTTTGGAAGGGAGGGAACATAGCTAGGGAAATATATTAACCCTTGTTCTTTAACATATCCTCTCTGCTGGGATTGTGTCTATGGCACAGTAAAGATTGTCCCAATGCAACTATAGCTTATATAGTATAACTGTAATAAAGGTCCTTAATAGGAATGTTTCTCTCTCTGATAAATTAAAATAGTTCTCTTCACACAGAACACAATCTGAAAATCCAAACCTCAAATATCACAGGAAACTGACCTTGATTTAACATTTCTATATAAACAATATATCAATAACCTGGACAAACAAGTCTAGTTTACGTGATATCTGTGTCTTTGATTAATAAGAGATTTTCATCTTCAGTGTGATACCAATGGAGAGGTATCTTACAGTCAATTATCTCAAAAAATTCTCAGCAACCCCAATTGCACTGAGAAGATAGTTATAAAGAGATTTTAGAAAGAATAAGAAAGTTCCTTGAGCTGAGACAGTTTCTGTGACATAAACCCTGCTTTCATTTTTACCAAGCTGATTGTAAATTTAGCTGTTAGAGTGCAGTTGGTTTAATTCAACCCTGCTGGATTCAATGACAGTCCACTAACAATAAATTATGGACTATAGCGTTTCCAAAAGCTTTTGCACTGGTAAACATGCAAATTAAAGTCATTAGAATTTGAGTCAGTTTGCACGAATAAGTGCTGACAAAAAGGAAGTCATATTTAATGGGTTAAATTCCCAAGGTGTATGATACACAGAATATAATACATGCAATTACGTCTGTCTTAATGCAGTCCTTCCTCTAGCTTTGAAGATTACTCAATGCATTGTAAATTAAAATTGATCACTGAGCAAATGCTCACAATTTGTCTCTTTCAAATTATGAACTTTTCAACTGGACGATTAAAATGTCTTTAAATAAATTAAATATGTCAACACCAAACTTCATATACACAGATTCACATTCAGAAGATTACATTATAGTTCTTTTTCTTTTCCTCCTGCTTCTTGAATGCATTCTGAATTTTGAATTGCATTTTAATTCTCCTCGAATGAATATAAAAGGAAAAAGGAATGACATTACCATAGATGTATACTACAAACCACCCAAGCAAACAGAGGAAATAGATCAACATTTTGCTAATCAGTTAGCTAAGATGAGCAGGAAGCACACTTATAATAGTAGTGGGGGGCTTTAACTACCTGGACATCAACTGGAAGACAAACTCTGCACCAAGTGAGAGATCAAACATGTTCTTGACAAACCTAGCAGACAACTTTATCATTCAAATGGTAGAGAAGGGAAGTAGATAGTTAGCTATACTGGACTTAATACTTACTAAGGGATGAAATGATAGAGGAGGTTGAAGTTGCAAGAACTTTGGGGGAAAGTGACCATGTCATATTGGAAGTCAACATAATACAGGTAGAAGTAATAGAAAAAAGTTGAAAGGGTGTCTTAGACTTTAAAAGAGCTGTTTTCCACAAACTTAGAGCTTAAAAAGGATTCCATAGATGGAAATCTTAAAGGTGAAAACAATTCAATAAGCTTGGAAAATTCTGAAAAATGAGATTATAAAAGCCCAGTCTAACACAATACCACTGAGAAAGAAAAATAAGAGACCCAAGACAAAACCAGCCTGGTTTCATAAAAAGCTCTCTGATAAATTGAGAAACTAAAAGGACAAGTATAAAAAATGGAGGGACATATAACTACAGCAGATTTAGCCTGAATCTGCAAAGACCAATTCAGGAATGCTAAGGCTCAGAATAGAAGAAGAAGAGGAGGAGGAGGAGGAGGAGGAGGAGGAGGAGGAGGGTGAGGGCGAGGAGGGTGAGGGCGAGGAGGAGGCGAAGAAGGAGAAGAAGAAAGAAGAAAGAGGAAGAAGAAGAAGAAGAAAGAAGAAGAAGAGGAGGAGGAGGAGGAGGAGGAGGAGGAGGAGGAGGAGGAGGAGGAGGAGGAGGAGGAGGAAGAATTCCTTCAATGTATAAAAAAATCAAGGAAAAGTCAAGGAAACAATAGTCCACTAATGAGAGAAGATGGCAAGGAAATGATGGGTAGCAGGGAAAAAGTGGAACTGCTTAGTTCTTTCTTTCCATCTGTCTTGGCACAAAAGGAAAAAATAGTCCAACCTATCAAAAGCAGTACCATAAAAGACAGAATAGGAATTCAAATTAAAATAGGAAGAAAATGGTGAAAGAATTTCTATCCACTTTAGACAAGTTCAAATCACCAGGAGCAGAGGGATTACATTTCAGGGTTCTGAAGGAGCTAATAGAAGTGATCCTAGAACCATTGAACAATATCTTACAAAAATCCTGGAGCACTAGGGAATTACTAGAGGACTGGGAAAAAAACTGATGTGGTTCCAGTCTTTAAAAAGGAAAAAAATGGATTTAGGAAAATACAGACCAATAACCTGACATCAATACCTGGGAAAATCCTGGAAAGGCAACGGATCTGCAAACACCTATAAGCAAGCAAAGCTATACTAAAAGCCTATACTATGGGTTTGTCCAAAATAGACCATGCCAGTCAAACCTTATTGCATTCTTTGACAAAGAGACTAAATTAGTGGATCAGGGAAATACTGTGGACATAGTTTACTTAGATGTTAGTAAGTGAAACATTCACTTACTTTAGCATTTAACAAAGCAGATTATAGCCTACTTTTTTTTTTAATTTGATTTATATGCCGCCCTTCTCCGGAGACTCAGGGCGGCTTACAATGCGCTAAGCAATAGCCTTCATCCTTTTGTATATATATTTTTCAGC